TTTTTGCATCATATTATCAATCTAATTATTATATTATGTTCTGAAACAACACCATTTATGTGATACATGTTAACTAAATTCTAATAAAAGGGAGTATTTGACAAAGAATTCATGTGTGCAAGCATGTATATTCACATATAGCAAGATGGGGAAAATGTAGGGATGTTAAATGGGTGGGTTTGGGCATTAAATGGGCGGGCCATAAATGAGCGGGCCATAAATGGGCGGGCCATAAATGGCGGGCATGTTTTGCCCATTTGCCAATTGCCCATTTATGGCCCATTTAATATTTTCTAAATGGGTAGGTTTTTGCCCGCCCATTTAATAAACGGGCCGCCCATTTGCCCGTTTATAAATAGTACTTTTTGAGTGTTTTTTGTAGTAGCTATATATATAGTACTTTTGGAGTGTTTTTTTTGTAAATTTTAGGGGGCTTTTCGCAAACTATTGGTGGCTTTTTGCAAACTTTTAGGGGCTTTTTGCAAACTTTTTGCATACCACCCCCAAAACTTGTACTACTCACAATGCACATCCAAAACCTATACTGCCCCAGCGCTGATATTGTTGTTCGTTTTAAAAGGGACCTACATTTGAATTCCCCTTTAATCATAGCATTATTCACATGACTTGCAGAATCATTGAACAATAACATTTTTTCATGAAGAATACACTGCAATTGAAACAAACAGACAGAGAATTTCAACCTACTTTAAAAATGTAAACCAATAATTAAGAAAAAAAACTTACCCTGACTCTTTTCAAGCTACTACGAAAGTCTCATAGTTATTTTAACAATTATAACCACCCACTTCATCAATTTAACTAGATTGTCGTAAGCTGAATTGTTATTAAACCCACTCACTTCCAAAATCATTCATAAACCCAAAACAGCAAACCCAGTTAATGTTTACACCCATATATTCAGTATTTAAACTCTTAATTATAGCAGTTTAACTCATTTTGGATCGATTAAACAATGGTCACATCACCCATACTGAATTAAAACAAAGGGTTAATTTCACAAAAAAAACCCCGAACTTTGTGGGGTTTTCACGTAACCCCCTATTGGGAAACAAGAGAGGATCAAAGCTAAAACTTTGATCGCCAAGATCCAAGCTTTGACCCAACCCAGGTCCCAAAATTCAAAATTCAACCAATCAAGCAAACAAAACAAACCTTGACGCTATCGTATCCGACAAGATGCAGCAGCGCATAGTGAAGCATGCATCCGTGGCCAGCCGAGAGCACGAACCGATCTCGATTGAACCAGTACAGATTCTTAGGGTTATACCTCATCATCTCAACGAACAGGATGTGGCCCAGCGGCTCGCACCCCATTGGCAGCCCAGGGTGGCCGCTGTTCGCCTTCTCGACGGCGTCGACCCTCATTTAGCGCCCGTTTAATAGGATGTAAAATGGACCCGCCCGATTAGGCACATTTAATTAAATGGGTGGGTTTTGGGCGGGCCAAATGATGGGTGGGCCAGGTGGGTAAATGGGTATGGGCATAAATTGACTTCCCTAGGAAAATGTCATCCCAAAAGACACCAGAGCACATGATCTGGAATTTCATAAACTTGAATGAAGTTGAACATTTAATATAATCCTGAGGTATTATTAATGATTTGCATACTGAGTATATAAACTGCTCTTAAGCAACCTAATTGCGGGTTGGCATCCTTCAGGGTTGAAATAGTAAATGGTAATGGCTAATGAATGTGCCTGTGTTATAGGAATTCCCTGGTTAAAGTTCTGCTTGAAATTAGTTTTTGCGATTAAGAGCATCTAATTCCTTTCTTAAGGTTCATCCTTATCCCGATTCTTAAGAAATATGGATACCCAAATTACCAATGTTAGAAAAAAAGGAAGGGGAAATAACTTTCTATTTGCTTTTTAGAGTACTTGTTAATTTTTTTGATATTTGTTGAAGTATATGATGATTATTTAGTTGGAATCTTTGACTATCTAGGTTCTGGTAAATTCCTTTGATCTGTTTAGGTTTTTTTGATGGATCCATGGTGGAATCCAGCTGTGGAGCGCCAGGCACAGGACCGGATTCATCGTATTGGACAATATAAGCCAATAAGGTGATTATATTATAAATTTACACTACTTGTATTATCTTATTGATCTTTTATACATTTACTTCTCATTTAATCATATCACACGTGTTCCTCAGGACCATAAGGTTTGTAATTGAGGACACCATCGAAGAAAGGATACTCAAGTTACAAGAGAAAAAGGAACTTGTGTTTGAAGGGTAATGCCTTTTTGTTGTTGATCGTATTTCCTGGATGTTATTGCTGATCTGTACATTCTGATTTGAATTGTCACAGGACTGTTGGTGATTCTAAAGATGCTCTTTTTAAGTTGACAGAAGCGGACTTGAGATTTTTGTTCCAGAACTAATCATTTATCCATTGAGATGAGAGGTATATATGGCACACAAATTGAACATTAAGATAAAGTCTGTGATGTGTGCATTATTGCACATAATAACTTGTGAAAGGTAATGCTGGTTAAATTCCATGTTGCTGATCTATAGGTTCCTCTTGGAGAGCCTCGACAGAATTAAGGGAAGCAGGATTATGGTATTTTGGTTGATGTGAAGTATGCAAAAGGTATTAACAAATTTTAGTTTTGTCTGTTGCTCTAAGAATGCTGTTGTGTTATGGGTTATGTGGCTGTACACTCTTGAATTACTCAACCAACTTAAATAACCTCCATTATCATCGATATTGTCAGCTCGATTTGACTGGGTTTTTTTTTCTCATACTGCTGTTTAATTGTAGAGGTTTTCTGGTCTCATTCAGGCAGTAGTGCGATGTCCACTGTTGTCTTTGTGGGTGAGGTCTTATTCCTGCTCCTGCTTAATTGGGATATAGTTCAAATATGTTGTTAGCTTTTCCATGTTAATAGCATCAATCATGTATATGAAAAGCCATCTAATCTTTTCATTAATCAGTTGCAGGATCTCCTACGCTGTGGTGACTTTTGAGGTTCAGCGTTTCCCTCACGAGAGGTTATGGCTCTAATCTTTTGGCTTCTCAGCTGTTTATAAGCTGGAAGTGTAAAGCAGAATCCCGCAGGTGTAGGTTTTTAACCTTTTTCTTTTGATCCTGTAAGATTCTGAAATCGCCTGTAAAACTTCATGGATGAAACTTTTTGTCTGGATTAACAAAGTTATAGCTTTAAATTGATCGAAATATGTTATTTTTGAAAGACGGTCTAAAGAGTGCCTATGTGTTGTTCCGCCGCGCAATCTGCTGTTATGGATTCTATTAATGTGAATGCTGGACGATAAGGAGGGGTGGTCTCCGTGATTTTGCAAGTTTCTGGAGGAAAAAAAAAAGTTTGATTTGAAGAAATTTACTCGTAATGTTTGAATCATTGCTCCATTTTGATTAAGACATTGGTGGAAGATCTAAAGGAGACAAGCTGGCGTGTTATCTTTGCACGGGCCTTAGTGATTGCTTTGTCAAAATCAGAGCATTCTACCGATTATTAGACAGCTGGATTGTGACTTATTGGGAAGAATTACCAATGTTTCTTTCAGGATGTCCCCACCCTTTTGGCTTGTGCTGGTAACGACGCAAGAGACTTCACACTCGATCTCTCAACGAGAGTTTTATACTTTATTTTTCTACATCATTAGTTTTTTTTGGCTTCTCAATTTATTTCCGGAATTTATGAAAAATTGATGCACAAATTGAAATGATGACTTTTATTAAATATAGAGTAGAAAGAGTATAGATTAGCGTATTTCTCCTGGCATCTTCTCATTAGAAAGGGGTTTGTTCAGAATACTACCTTTGAAGGTGTGAATCGCTGAACACGGCTCGACCAGCTCAGATAGCAACCCGTCATCGTGTCGGTATCGTGATAGAGACCTCGACGCTATCACTTTGGTCTTTACCTGGAGAATAAAATGTGGGTAAGCTCAAAATTTTTGTGACGGTGAAGGAATTGGCCACGTAAGCCAGACAAGCTGGGGTCGACTACCCCCGCCAAAATGTGAACGTGTTAACAAAATTTCGTCTGGTCATTCTCTACAGACGACCGTGGCTGGCATCTGACTCCAAGATCCTCGTCTTTTTGCAGAAAATGGGATTGTGATACGATAAGTAAGGGGCCATTTAATAATAATAATATCCTTTGCGACGTCAAGTCGCATGATCCTTTAGCGGACTTTTCTTTAGATGTTTGCTAGTCAGTTTCCGTGTTTCTCCCATCAAAAAAAAAAGAAAAGCAAGCAAGGAAAAAGCATGAAACTTTTTATTTTAGAATCAGCTGGCTCAAAATTGTACGTCGATGGCTCGTTTTCTAACAAAGCTCTTCAAGTAGATGGAGAACCCGTTTCGTTTTTTTTAGCGTGACACGGAGAAGTCGGGTCACTTTGGCTAACGAAAAACACTGCTTACTTATGATATTGTTTGGCAACAAGAGATTGTGTCTTATCTAAGAGATTGTGTCTTATTGACTTGGTCAATAAGCTAGTAAATCTGTTTGGTGATAAAAAATAGGAGAAGATTATTTTGGAGATTGTGTCTTTTGCAAGTAGCTTTTGGAAAGCTACCTCAAGTAGCGTTTGTCTTTGGAAAGGAGCTGCTAATTTTTTTCTTCCGTTTTGCCCCTACTAATTCGTAATTTTATATTCATAATATTGCATGTCCTTTTTAGTCATTTAACAAATTTAAGCTAGTTGTACAGCTACTTTTGCCAAACAGCTCTAGTCAATCAGCTAGCTACACAGCTATCAGCTTTCAGCTATAATTTCATAGCTTTCAACTAGTTTAACAGCTTTCAGCTATAATCTCGCAGCTTTCAGCTAGTTTTGCTAAACAGAACCTATATATCTGGTACAAACAAACAAAACCCTGAGCCGTGAGCACATTATACCCCTTTTATGTGTTCTCTTTAATTGCGCTGTATAACATTGTACGCTGATCATTAGGTGCAGTAGATATAAATGCGCTGCACAAGTGGGCAATAATGACTCAACAGGAACCAGGCCCATCTTCCCTTTGACCCCAAACCTTCAACGAAAGTGAAAGAAACAAGAGTCTCAAATCTAGAGAATGACGTCTCCTCACCCTTCGTCCACTCGCAAAATTTCACACTAGAACGTGAAAGGAATGCATCTAAAATGAGACCCCCGCATTTTAAATTCATTAATCCCCATCCCTTCAGGTACGTATTAACTCTTCCAGATTAGAGTTATTATTATTTAGAAAAATTCCCCAAGGACCCAAAATATGGGACCAACAGAGGGACATGTGAAATGTTTCCCTTATTGGTCGCATATTTTGGATCCATATAGCAAATCTCTATTATTTAACTCCTCATTATCCTTACTCTTACCCTTACTCTTAACACACACACTGACACACACACACCCTCTCCTCCTTTAAAAGCCTCAGCTCCCTCCCCTTCCCTCCATTCAAATTCAACTCAACATTTCACTCCAAATGGCCTCCAACTCTTTAACCAAATACGCCCATTTAGTCCTCTTCCTTCTCCATGTCCTCTCCTCGGCGAACTCTGCCTCAGTTCCGGCCATTTATGCGTTCGGAGACTCGCTGGCCGATGTCGGCAACAACGACTACTTGAAGCTCTCGGTGCTCAAGGCTGATTTTCCTCACAACGGGGTTGACTATCCTGGCGGCAAAGCCACAGGGAGGTTTAGCAACGGCAAGAACTCTGCAGATTTTCTCGGTACGCATGCATTTGTGACTTCTTTTTTTTCCGCTTTGTTTCGTTTCGGTTTGGTTTTGTATAGAACCGAGTTCTGTTAGGTGTTAGCTAAATAGTACCAAGCGTGCCAGGATTCAATAACTTTTTGTTTGTTAGGTAGGGACTGGGTCCAATTTTTTATTGAGCTCAGGCCTCACTGGCTACGAGTTGCCTGCTACGGCCAGGTTGATTGCTAGGGACTGGATCCTATTCAATCCGGTGGGGAAATGGAATCATGAGTGGGGGGGTGCATGAGATATCTATGAGGGCCTACTTGGTCTTTTTTTTTTTTTAAGGATGAACTCCCACTTCAAAAATTATGAATACAATTAGTTCTTGAGTTCATTGAAACAACTATATATCAAACGTTCTAGCACGTGCAATATTCTGATATTAATCACAACTTTCTTATGGGCTGCAAGGGGGAATGAAAAGAAAAAAAAAATACTCTCAAAAGTTTTTTTTTTCCCTTTTCCCCTTCACACTATACCTGTGATATCTGGAACAAAAATACTAAAACACACTTGTAGTAGTTGGGAGGCCTATAATTAATGGTTATCTTGTTCTGGCGAAGTTTTAAGCAATCCACTTCAAGTATAAGAGCAATTCTTTGATAAAGAGGTACTTTTTAGGTTAAGATTACTACGTACAATGAGCCTAGTATCTTCAAAGAAATCTAATTAAGAAAAAAAAAATTCATCACTGTTAGTTAATGAACTTTTCAAATAGTAAGTGTACTGCTAATTATATACTGAGAGAAAAAAAAAATTCGCTCCTCTGAATGTCACAGCGGATAAAGTTGGTGTTCCAACCTCCCCACCTTACCTCTCTATACCGTCAAACTCCAACAGGACCCAAGCGTTTCTCTCTGGTGTCAGCTTTGCCTCTGGCGGCGCTGGGGTCCTGGATTCCACAAATTCAGTGAGTCCTTCGGTAACCTTATAAAACATACACACTCGAAATAATCGAATACTTAAAAACTTGATAAGTTGATTACTGGATCTTATTTCAGGGACAATGCCTCACATTCAACAAGCAAATAGACTACTTCACTACGGTATACACTGAGCTGGTGCAGGAATTGGGCAGCGCGCAAGCCCAAGATCACCTATCAAAGTCCATATTCTCCTTTATAATTGGAAGCAATGATATACTTTCTTACATAAGGTCGAGTGACGGGATGACACCTCAGCAGCTTGTGGATTCTATGATCACTACACTAAGAGGTCAACTGAAGGTACATAACTGTTTCACCGATGAACTAGAATGCCAAAATCCTCAAACTTTTGTATTGTATCAGAAATGAAATCAATAGTTTGAGACCAATTTCCTTTCAAAGAAAATTAAGCGAAAACAATGGAACCGTTATTTTTCAATGAATCATGATTCAACACATGAAGAATTAGCGAGACGCGTGTATGTATAAAACACTTGGCTTGGTCAGTGAATGTCAGAAAAATCAGAGTTTGGGGACCGTACGATTTTGATACGGTTACCTGTTTCTCGGTAGGATATAGACAACCCATTGGCAATATTTTTGCAGAAGTGAAAGTATTTGGAGGACAAATTTATTTCTCGGAATCTTACTTTCAAGAATTTAGTAACAAGGTTTTCTGACATATTTGATACTATTTCCTTGGTCGCAGACTATTTACAATCTTGGTGCACGGAAATTTGCATTTGTGGGCACAGGACCAATTGGCTGCTGCCCATCACTACGGCGTAAAAATGGGTCTGATTCCTGCAATTCCTTAGCAAATAGTATCTCCCTTCTCTATGCTCAAGGTTCTGCCTCATTACTGAAAGATATGCAATCAGAACTTAGCGGATTCAACTACTCTTTCTTCAACTCCACCATCACACTGCTTCAATACCTTCAAGATCCATCCAACTACGGTATAATTACACCATCAATTATTCAAATTTTGGGTTTATTATACATCAACCATTCGTAGAATCTTTTTTTTTTGGGGACTTACTACCCCCTGTAGTTTCATTGTCGCAGATAGACCTCTTGGGTTGATTTTTTTTTATTACTCTCTTGCCCTCAGTGAGACTTACTAGTTTCACCCAGGAGCAATATCTGCCAAAATTTCACCCAGTCTAAAAGAGTCAAAACCCCAGGGGGTCTACTGCAGCGATGAACACAGGGTAGGAAGTGCGAAACGGAAATACCTCTTGTGGTTGTTTTTCTTTCCTTTTTTTTTGGTGTGTGTGTGTGTGTGTGTGGATGTGCAATTTACCCTTTTTATTTTTATTTTTATTTATGATAGTAGACCTATTTATCCATGAATACAGGATTTACTGAAGTTAAGGCTGCATGCTGTGGACTGGGAAATCTCAATGCTAAGGTTGCTTGCCTCCCAGTATCCAAATTGTGTCAGAAGAGGTCAGACTTTGTATTTTGGGACCTATTCCATCCTACGGAGAAAACCGCTGGATTGCTTGCAGACACTATATTTGACGGATCATCACCATTTGTGTACCCAATTAATGTAAAACAGTTGAGTAACCTTTGAAATAAGCTTTTTTTTCTTTTCTTTTCTTTTCTTTGTTACATAGGCCCAAAGAACTTGGGCAGTATAGAGGTTGTCAACAAGTATAGTGACAAAGATGTGATGTACATCAAAAATGTTCTCAGAAATGAAATTATCTCAGAAAGTATCGATAACTACCCAAGTTTAAGGGTGTATTTGTTGGGATGTGTATTTATCTCTTTTGATATGAAATTTAGGAACTAGTTTAAGTGATTTGCCATCTCTCACGATACGTCCAACACATGTTTCTTGTGAATTTCTCTAGACGACTCACATATTTTAACTTCAGTTGAATGAGCCATCTCCTTGTTATCTTTGGTCCCGCCTCTTGTTTGGTTCACACTGTTGCATGTACTAATTATTAGGAAACACCAAAAATGAATGAACTGGTGTACATATGTGCGATTCCATATTCATCACTTTCTTACTTTTAACAACTCCTTTCTTTTTAACTTTGTGTATATCATAAGACAAGGAACTCTCCTGATAGAACTTCAAATGGCGTCCAAATCGTTGCGTCCTCATACCGAATTGTTGGTTTTCGCAGTTTGTTATTGCATCTTGTTTATGACTCAAGTTAAGGCAAAGGTTCCCGCAATCTACGTGTTTGGGGATTCATTGGCTGACGTAGGAAACAATGACTACTTGGAGTTCTCATTTCTGAAAGCTAATTTTCCACACAATGGTGTCGATTATCCTGGAGGAAAAGCGACGGGTCGCTTCAGCAACGGCAAGAATTGCGCTGATTTTCTCGGTATTTCTCTTTCTATGTTTGACCTTAGTTACTTTTGTACAGTTTGTTTATAGCCAGTTTGGCTTTGGTTTTAGCTTATTATGATCAGTTAATAGTCCATCCGCTTGATGATTTACCTTAATCCAAAGATGTTCAAGATTTGTAATTTTGGTCATTGTTCAAATTTTCAGTCAAACAGTATCTGAGACACATTCTATGTATATCGATCAAAGTTGTCATTCAAAAATCATGCCGGATTCTCCATTTATTGAATATATGTGCCGTGACTGATAACTTATTCAAGATCTTATAACATCCTATACGCATCCTTATACTTACATATCTTCAATAGTCTTGTTTTTAATAAACTGTAGCATATAATTTTTTTTTAAAAAATACTAATTTGAACATCTCAATACAACAGCTGAGAGACTTGGCTTACCATCTCCTCCCCCTTACCTATCCATACCGGCCAACTCGAACATAACACAGGTGTTCCTCAAAGGTGTCAACTTCGCTTCTGGTGGGGCTGGAGTTTTGGACTCAACACGTGCCGTAAGTCCCTAGACCGACATAGAATTCACTATCAAACACTTGATTACATGATACATTTTTTTTTCAGGATCAATGCCTCAAGTTAACCAAGCAAATAGACTACTACTCAACAATGTACACTGATTTGGTTGAGAAATTGGGGTTCATACAAGCCCGAGATCACATATCCATGTCTATCTTTGCCTTCATTATTGGAAGCAATGATATACTAGATTATGTCAAGTCAAGCTCTAGCTATCAGCTTAATGTCACTGCTGAGCAGCTTGTTGGTTCGATGATTTCTTCACTTGAAGTGCATTTAAAGGTAACTTTGTTACTATATTTCTGGATATTTGAATGAAAAACTTATGAATACGGTTCCGTATTTGTTTCAGAGGATTTACAACCTTGGTGCTCGTAAAATTATCTTTGTGGGCACCGGACCGATTGGTTGCTGCCCACAACAGAGAGAAAACAGCACTTCTGGTGAATGCAGTGCCAGAACTAATAGCATCTCTGCTCAGTATGATAGCGGAGTTGCTTCGCTGCTTCACGAAATGAAATCAGAATTCAATGATATGAACTACTCTTTCTTCAACTCGTCAAGCACTCTTATGGAATACATTGAAAGCCCAGATGCTCATGGTATGAAAATATTTGTTCCGATATCATGGATTTTTTTTAAATTTTTTTTTTAAAGCAACTGATTCTGGGTATGGTTATAGGGTTCACTGACGTTAAGGCTGCGTGTTGCGGAATTGGCAATCTCAATGCTTTGATTGCTTGTCTTCCAGTTTCTAGATTGTGTGAAGATAGAACTAGTTACGTATTTTGGGATTTATATCATCCAACAGAGGCTACTGCTCGGTTGCTGACTGAAACTATGTTCAGCGGTTCACGGCCTTATGTGTTCCCCATCAACGTAAAACAGCTGGGCGATCTCTGAGATGAGAATGAACTTTGGAGGGCTTTTGGACGCTCTTGTCGAAGAAACTGTCAAATTTCTCTGATACTCAGCAGCACGTCTAATGTTAATGTTTCGACATCAATTTCAAAAGCATTTGAGATAACAAACATGCTCGATTATACTGAAGGTTTGCCTTTTAAATCTCTATAGCGATTATCAGTTGTAAGGCAAAATTTTCAAATTGCTCGAATATTGGGTACCTTAAATACGTTTTGACTATCGTCAAATTAATCTCTATAATGATGAGAATGAAGATTGTGGGAGAAACTGTCGAACATCTCTATACTCAATTAATACTATGTAACTGCATTCTCCTCAGTTTTAAATGCAGTCAACCAACTCCCATTTCTTGATAACTGAATTTTTTTTTCCAGTCCAGGTTAAATCTCGATGCTGATGGTTCGATTGATAATTAATTTTTCAATTTAGCTAGTACTTGGGTGGCCTCACACTGTTCCTTTACGAATTTAGCCTGCTCAGAGCCAATAATGGGAATTTCAGGATGTGTCCAATGCTTATGATCAAATTGAATGTTAATTTTCAATTTAGCGAATATTTAGAAATTTTTAACTTACAAGTTTAGTCGCTGCTTAGAACATACGGCAAAATAAAATAAAACAAGAAAGAATAAAAATTTATGGTAAAAGTTAAAAAAAGTGGCGGTTCTCTGAATGAACTGAAGCTGGGTCCAAAGCGGGTGCAGAGCGCAGCGACCCGTTATCCTTCCACCGTTGAGAGCGGGAAGTTTTCGCTGCTCTGTGAATCCAGCCTCACGCTGTACCCTCCGCTTCAAGAGACAAGTGAGTCAGGCCTGCGCCAGGCCCACATGAATCACTACCCAACTTGGAACGGGCGGGCCATCATAAAGCACCCATGCACCCAGACCCAGCAACAATGCCCAGAGTCCGCACCACTTTAATGCCCCGCTTGGTTACAAGCTCGCGCGACTGAGCTCGGCAACAGGAGGACAGTGGTATTTCATTTTAAAGAACTTAACAATAAATATAGTTGTCGATGTGGGACTAAGGAAGTGGAAGTGGCGACATATCGTTTATATTTTTCTCTCCAGACATGAATACCTCCCACATACTAATTCCATTTGAAGAGATGGAAGTAATCAATCTCGTCAGGCTCTGAATAAGTATCCATTAGGAGTACGTAAACGCATAGTTAACTAAATCTAAATGTTGGGTTTGTTTGGAAGAAAATACTAAACAAACTAGTGTTGGCAGCGTAATTACTTATTTGAAGATGTATATATGTCTATCTCCTAATTTACTTTCATATTGGAATTTGATATTAGGTAGGGATTTGTATATTGTAATAGTCAAATTGGTGACAATAAATAAAACATAGAAATACATACATATCGACATATTTACTCGAATATGTATGTATTATATAAGTTTTTATATTATATAATACGATGTGTAAGCATGTACATATATAAGGGTAAAATATAAGAAATCCAAAATATGTGGAGTTAAGTTTAATTTGGTTTATGAGAAGTCCAAAATATGGAAAATACATAGGGCCTAAAACCTATGAGGAGTAAAGTATTTCCCCCCCTAATTTGAAGCATGAAATATTAGTTTACTGTGTTTGGTTAGTAGTAAACAAGTTTTTCTTCTCCTTTTTTAAGCTAGGAGACGAAGGACTGCTATTGGGATGAATGTAGACGTAATTTTGTTATCTTTCAAAAAATATATAGGCGATTGAATAGGATCATAGGGTTAAGAGATAAATAAATAAAAATCCTACCTTTTTTATCACAGTAAAACTTAAAATTAATATTTCAATTAAATATTTCTTCGGTTGATTGGTCTCCTATTCCCATAGCAATGTATATTTAATTAATATTTTCTCCTATCACAGAGAATTGATCATATAAAACAGTATAGTACGCAGCAAAGGTCATCAATTTTGACAACAAAAAGATGCTAAACGGGCCTCAACTAGTCCAACATCAATGTTGCATTTGACCGCTTCCAAGTAGCGAAAATGTCAAACGAATATTATTTTGAGAATAAAATACTATGTATGATTATTCCTGTTTCATATTAAATAAACCACAATTTCCTCAGTTTACTTCACTAAACAACAAATGAAGAAAGAAAGGGAGCTCATCAAATTTTAGATTTCGTATAGTCTCCATCCATCTATAGATTTGTTTATATGGACAAGTAATCTTTCTTACGTAACTTCAGTTATTATTTAGTCATCAACTCCTTATCTTTCCCATAAACCGGTACACACATCTTTTCTCATCTCCATAGGTCATCCGTGTTATAAAACTTAGGCAGAGACAAACTATTGTAAATTAAGTTTGCGTCCAAAACAATTGGAGCGAAGTGCAATTTTTATTTTAATTTTTTTCTCCGTTAAGCTGTACCAAAGGCCGTTTTCTCTTTTAATGAAGTTAAGATAGTTTGATAAAGAGAAGCAAATCTTTAGACCTTTGCTTTCATGCGTTTAGACAACTCAAGATTTATCAGATATTCTAGCATTTCTACATTGGAAAATGCAGCTGCGTGAGAATTTAATTACTTTTCTTTTTGACCATGTATCTTCTCCGTTTCAACTTTTAAGTGGCGATATTATTAATTCATTTCCTTTTCTGTTAATTTTATATTTATAAGATTTGATTCTTTTATTCCAGAACATATTCCAACATAGCGTTTTAAAGATGAGGAAGACTTTTCCCCTCAATACCCTGAGTTCCTACTTTTCCTTTTTTTTTGTAGAATATACTTATCATTTTCTCTTTAATACAATTTATATCTTAAAAAATAAAAGGTTGCTTAATTATGTGCACACAGTTCTATTTCATGGCATGTGATGTGTTTTGTCTAGAATGTTATATATTGACAAATAAAGGCACGAGAAAAGATTGAAATTAAGACCTCTATGGTATAATTATTATTTTATTATCCTTTTGATTGGAATATTGTTTCCATGTCATTAAAATAATTTAGAATGTTCACTGCAACAAAAGTAGTAAGTTATAATCCATTTTTTGTCTCTACGCGACATATTTTTATGTCATACAAATAGAGCGCGACATATCAAAAGTGTGGTTAAAACATGTGTGAAGAGTGTGTTTCTATATATGTGAGAATGTGTCACGAAACTCATGACACATAGTAAGTTATAATCCATTTTTTGTCTCTACGCGACATATTTTTATGTCATACAAATAGAGCGCGACATATCAAAAGTGTGGTTAAAACATGTGTGAAGAGTGTGTTTCTATATATGTGAGAATGTGTCACGAAACTCATGACACAACATATATATATATATATATATATATATATATATATATATATATATGTCGAGAGTGGTGACACATACATGTGTCATAAAACTCATGACACATACATGTATCAAGAGTGGTGACACATAGTTATGTCTAGACTATAAAAATTTAAAGAGTATCATCAATACTATTTTCCTTGAAGGTCACCCATCCTAGGATTACTCTCACTAAAGCACACTTAACTATGGAGTTTTTTAACTTATACACTATCATAAATGTTTAATCATCATAATTAAAAATCTAAGATTTATTATTTAAGCATATTAATAGATCTTCTCACAATCCATGTTGGACTATTAGCCTTTTTCAATTATATTTAATTGTATATCTAATGACACACATATATGTCATGTTTTTGCTACACTTCTTATACGTGTCACTATTGTTTAATCATTTGTAAATGAAATGAAACAAGTGTGGATATATACAACTTTTGTTGTAGTGGTTGGATGTCTTCAATAAAGTAGGGTATTCATGTCACCATGTGGAAAAGGAAGGTCGACCTCATCACTTTACATTTGATGATTTACATTGTTTGGTTACGACATTATGATTCATAAAATGATATGACTACCTTATTTGGATTGCATTATGTAAACTTAAAAGTGATAGACATGTGGACCCCATTAAAAATATTAATTTTATCATGGTTAGATTTA